AGATTAACTCGGTAGCACTCGATGTATGCACAAGGCTTATTCCTCTAAGAAAAAGGAGAGTAGATGTAAAACAGAAAGAGACAGGCGCTCCCTTTACAGGCGACGGAAAAGAATAACAGAGCGGCTAAAAGAGGTCAATATATCTGAAATGCGTAGGAGACACTGGTCAGAGAAATAGCAAGCATCGAACTTAAGCTAAAAGAATCCTTTAGGAGTCAGGAATCGCGGGAAGAACTAAAAGCCATAATGAATCGAAAGAAACCCAAAGTATTTCTTCTCCTATGCCAAATCAAAATCGAGAACAACGTCCAGTATTGGCCCCTACTTAAACAAGATGGGTCCTACACAGATGACAACAAGGAAATGAGTGAGCTACTCAAGTCCCAATATGACTCAGTTTTTAGCAAGCCGCTAACCAGACTGAGAGTCGAAGATCAAAATGAATTTTTATGAGAGAGCCACAAAATTTGATTAACACAAGCCTATCCGATGTTATCCTGACGCCAAATGACTTCAACAGGCGATAAATGACATGCCCATGCACTCTGCCCCAGGGCCAGACTCATGGAACTCTGTGTTCATCAAGAACTGCAAGAAGCCCCTATCACGAGCCTTTTCCATCCTATGGAGAGGGACATGGACACGGGGGGCGTCCCACAGTTACTAAAAACAACAGACATAGCCCCACTCCACAAAGGGGGCAGTAAAGCAACAGCAAAGAACTACAGACCAATAGCACTAACATCCCATATCATAAAATCTTTGAAAGGTCCTAAGAAGCAAGATCACCACGCATCTAGAAACCCATCAGTTTACACAACCCAGGGCAACATGGGTTTAGAACAGGTCGCTCCTGTCTGTCTCAACTATTGGACCACTACGACAAGGTCCTAAATGCACAAAGACAAAAAGAATGCAGATGTAAAATATACAGACTTTGCAAAAGCCTTCGACAAGTGTGACCAAAGGCGTAATAGCGCACAAAATGCGTGCTAAAGGAATAACAGGAAAAGTCGGTCGATGGATCTATAATTTCCTCACTAACAGAACACAGAGAGTAGTCGTCAACAGAGTAAAGTCCGAGGCAGCTACGGTGAAAAGCTCTGTTCCACAAGGCACAGTACTCGCTCCCATCTTGTTCCTCATCCTTATATCCGACATAGACAAGGATGTCAGCCACAGCACCGTGTCTTCCTTTTCAGATGACACCCGAAACTGCATGACAGTGTCTTCCATTGCAGACACTGCAAAGCTCCAGGCAGACATCAACCAAATCTTTCAGTGGGCTGCAGAAAACAATATGAAGTTCAACGATGAGAAATTCAATTACTCAGATATGGTAAACATGAGGAAATTAAATCTTCATCAGAGTACAAAACAAATTCTGGCCACAAAATAGAGCGAAACACCAACGTCAAAGACTGGGAGTGATCATGTCGAGGATCTCACCTTCAAGGACCATAACATTGTATCAATCGCATCTGCTAGAAAAATGACAGGATGGATAATGAGAACCTTCAAAACTAGGGAGCAAGCCCATGATGACACTCTTCAGGTCACTTGTTCTATCTAGGCTGGAATATTGCTGCACACTAACAGCACCTTTCAAGGCAGGTGAAATTGCCGACCTAGAAATGTACAGAGAACTTTCACGGCGCGCATAACGGAGATAAAAACACCTCAATTATTGGGAGCGCTTGAGGTTCCTAAACCTGTATTCCCTGGAACGCAGGAGGGAGAGATACATGATTATATACACCTGGAAAATCCTAGAGGGACTAGTACCGAACTTGCATACGAAAATCACCCACTACGAAAGCAAAAGACTTGGCAGACGATGCACCATCCCCCCAATGAAAAGCAGGGGTGTCACTAGCACGTTAAGAGACCATACAATAAGTGTCAGGGGCCCGAGACTGTTCAACTGCCTCCCAGCACACATAAGGGGGATTACCAACAGACCCCTGGCAGTCTTCAAGCTGGCACTGGACAAGCACCTAAAGTCAGTTCCGGATCAGCCGGGTTGTGGCTCGTATGTTGGTTTGCGTGCAGCCAGCAGCAACAGCCTGGTTGATCAGGCTCTGATCCACCAGGAGGCCTGGTCTCAGACCGGGCCGCGGGGGCGTTGACCCCCGGAACTCTCTCCAGGTAAACTCCAGGTAACACATGTCATTTACTTAGGATATCCTCAAAAAGTCAGACAAAGTGACTTATTTCCAATGGGGTCCTTGTGATAGTTTTGTGGTGTCTGACTCTTCTTCCAAGGAACTGAAATTGCGCTTTTCTTCCTCAGATCAAGCCTTACTACTCCCATTCTCAAGGTGTATTACTTTAAGCTGTTTATAACTTTCCCTATGACTAAAATAATATAATAATAAAAATAATATAATAATAATAATAATAATAATGATAATAATAATAATAATAATAATAATAATAATAATAATAATAATAATAATAATAATAATATAATAATAATAATAATAATAATAATAATAATAAGTGAACAGTATTTAGATAAGGCTAAAGAGGTCTTTGTAGCATTTATGGATTTGGAAAAGGCATATGACAGGGTGGATAAGGGGGCAATGTGGCAGATGTTGCAAGTATGGTGTAGAGGTAGGTTACTGAAAGCAGTGAAGAGTTTTTACGAGGATAGTGAGGCTCAAGTTAGAGTATGTAGGAAAGAGGGAAATTTTTTCCCAGTAAAAGTAGGCCTTAGACAAGGATGTGTGATGTCACCGTGGTTGTTTAATATATTTATAGATGGGGTTGTAAGAGAAGTAAATGCGAGGGTCTTGGCAAAGGCGTGGAGTTAAAAGATAAAGAATCACACACAAAGTGGGAGTTGTCACAGCTGCTCTTTGCTGATGACACTGTGCTCTTGGGAGATTCTGAAGAGAAGTTGCAGAGATTGGTGGATGAATTTGGTAGGGTATGCAAAAGAAGAAAATTAAAAGTGAATACAGGAAAGAGTAAGTTATGAGGATAACAAAAAGATTAGGTGATGAAAGATTGGATATCAGATTGGATGGAGAGAGTATGGAGGAGGTGAATGTAATTCAGATATTTGGGAGTGGACGTGTCAGCGGATGGGTCTATGAAAGATGAGGTGAATCATAGAATTGATGAGGGGAAAAAGGGTGAGTGGTGCACTTAGGAGTCTGTGGAGACAAAGAACTTTGTCCTTGGGGGCAAAGAGGGAATGTATGAGAGTATAGTCTTACCAACGCTCTTATATGGTGTGAAGCATGGTGATGAATGTTGCAGCGAGGAGAAGGCTGGAGGCAGTGGAGATGTCATGTCTGAGGGCAAGTGTGGTGTGAATATAATGCAGAGAATTCGTAGTTTGGAAGTTAGGAGGAGGTGCGGGATTACCAAAACTGTTGTCCAGAGGGCTGAGGAAGGGTTGTTGAGGTGGTTCGGACATGTGGAGAGAATGGAGCGAAACAGAATAACTTCAAGAGTGTATCAGTCTGTAGTGGAAGGAAGGCGGGGTAGGGGTCGGCCTAGGAAAGGTTGGAGGGAGGGGGTAAAGGAGGTTTTGTGTGCGAGGGGCTTGGACTTCCAGCAGGCATGCGTGAGCGTGTTTGATAGGAGTGAATGGAGACAAATGGTTTTTAATACTTGACGTGCTGTTGGAGTGTGAGCAAAGTAACATTTATGAAGGGGTTCAGGGAAACCGGCAGGCCGGACTTGAGTCCTGGAGATGGGAAGTACAGTGCCTGCACTCTGAAGGAGGGGTGTTAATGTTGCAGTTTAAAAACTGTAGTGTAAAGCACCCTTCTGGCAAGACAGTGATGGAATGAATGATGGTGAAAGTTTTTCTTTTTCGGGCCACCCTGCCTTGGTGGGAATCGTCCAGTGTGATAATAAAATATAATAATAATAATAATAATACCAGATCTGGAAGATTTTCAGGTTCGATCGAAGAAAACGAACGACATTTCTAATTCTCTGAATCGAGAAATCTTCACCAGCATCATCGCGGAACATCTGATAGATCTGTCACTCATAATGATGCCGATGGTTTTGCATGTGTGGGAATCGTAGTCTACCTGGAGGTCGTTCCGCGGGTCAACACCCCCGAGGCAAGGTCTTTGACTAGGCCTACCGGTGGATTAGGGCTTGATCAACCAGGCTGTCACTGCTGGCCACACGTAATCCAACGTACGAACCCGGTTGGTCGAGTACTGACTTTAGGTATCAATGAAACCATGCATTATTACACCTAATATCGACGCAGATATGGATGAGAATATGAGGTTTTCACAGGTGACTGTGTTCAGTTTCCATTAGAAATTTTAATGATAGAACACTAACCATGTCTCAGAACAGGAAGAGCGAGTTTATATGTAGTGAGTTCGGCTCATCCTGATTCGGGCTCAGTCAGGGTGAGCCGAACCTAAGGGATCCTAGGGAAGATTTTTTTTTTGAATCCCAAGAAAAATAAGCTATACTATTGTTTTTTAAGTTAGGTTACTGAAACTCAGTAACTAATAATGCGAATACAGTTTTCTCATTGTATGTGTACAGAAAATTTTCACTGTTCGTGTAAATTCAGTAAAGGACGTAAATTACTGAGAACGTTCGAAGTCCATTGAGCAGTAACGCCTTGGAAAGTAGGCGAGATGCATCATAAGTTACATCCGGAATATTATAGAAGGGTTATAATCATAACCATAATTTTTAAAGAGGTGGACCGGTAAGCCAGCAAAAGGCCTCGGTCAGATGTCCAAAAACTGCGATGGATGTGACTTAAGAAATCGCCTTCAGATAACTTTCAAGTAAATATGTGAAAACTCATTTACTTAATCTCGCGGTAGCCGAGAACTACCAGGCAACGTACAAATCCGTACGATTATCACACGTATCGCGCGAAAGGACAGCCGGCAATAGCTGAAGCCTCTAAGGTTGGCTAAAATATCGTACCGTACCGACCCAACTTTCTGTTTCGGGCACAGACCACGGGGAGAGATGAGCTGGCTCAATGTTGTGGCTCAGTCCTGGCCCAGGCGCCGGAGAGTGAGGACGGTGGGGTTGTGTTGTTGGATTACTCGCGACCTTCCCAAGTGCTGTGTTGCTCATATACCGTGTGTGCCATGAATCCCAGTGTTGCCTCATTGATCGCAATGTAACTTGTAACACTGATTACGAACAAAACATCACTAAGATGGTTATTGTATACCTTTCATTCCTCATTATTAAATAAACTTTTAACAAACTTCCTTTTTTTTATTTTGTTAACATATTTTTTCCAAATTTTTTCTGACAGAACTCTTCGTAATTAAAATACTTTTTTATTGAACATAGAGAAAGCAAAATGCTTTGGTATCACATGGAAATTATGTTTGCTATTCACCGTCACTGAAAAAAAAACTTTTTCCATAAACCTTACGGCAAAAACCAGGACAAATGATACATCATTTTTGAGCTCAATGATGGCTAGTGTTGGAGTGTTAGTGATGTCAGCGGTGGTGTCGGTGTTGGTAGGTCCAGGAGCTGCCAACTTCAATCTGTACCTCACCCAGGCTGAGGTCCGCAGAATATTAGGTATGTAATCGTGAACTTGTAATTAAGAGTAGAAGACGTTTGCATCTGTGAGTATACGCTGAGAATTTACTGCAAACCCAACTTTAAGAGATTTAATTCTCCTTGACTGTGGGGTCCAGGTGATATGCTAGCTTAATGACTCACGTGAGGACGAGACTTTTAAACCTAATAATAATAATAATAATAATAATAATAATAATAATAATAATAATAATATAATATAATTTTATTTAGGCACAGGTACACATTTAAGTACAATTATCATACACAGTGTAAATTACATAGAAAAACCCAACCCCCCCAAAAATGTCGAAGTGACTTATTTTCATTGAGTTTTGGTTAAATATAAGCGATTTATACATTGCGGTGATAAATGATTAAGTTTCGAAGCCAATATTACCCACACAGTAAGATTCATTTCACAAGTGGTTCCGTGAGTGTGATGATCACCTCGTCTCCCAGCTGAGTTACTTGGTCCGCACACGTGTACTGACACCAGCTGTATTAAATCATTAGTGATAAAGCCCTAAGTGGCGAAACGTTTCATTAATAAAGTTACCTAACGTTTCACATGGGGTTTCTTTTATACCCTTAATGATAATGACACACCCACTATGTGTGAAAAATAAACCCTTTTCCTAAGTAAAATTAGGAAAAACTGGGCATAATCCAAGATACGTTAGGTATATTATAATATTTTTTATAAAGGAAATTTGAGCAAGGTTGGGTTGCTGTTATTTTGGGAGAAAAATAATTTGCATGAGCAAAATTTGTGCGAATATATTTAAATTTTCCTTGGGCTAGGGGAAGGGGTTAGCATTGTGGTGACCAGTATATTTGTATACCTTGGATACACACTGCATTTGGCATCCTTGTATGCGATGGTATTTAATGAAATACATTTTCGTCATATTGTTGGTACTGGTGAAGGGCTCTTGAACCAAGGAAACGGAGATATCTTCTCATTCCTCGGATTAATCCTGATTAACCTTTTCCCCCCTCCCCCACGCGGCTGATTCATTAGATGCTGTAATAAGTAGAGCACTTCCCCATGAAAATACTAATATAATCAATCAACAACCCTGAAAGTAGTATACATATACATTAACTCGTATTCCTGTACTAGTGAACAGGTATACGCGAACACGTATACCTGAAGTAGTGTACAAATGGACGGGAATAGGTATTAAAAACTTGGTTGTCCATTAGCAGATCATTGTAGAATGCTATCCTTGCAACCAAATCAGTTGGTTGGCGTGTTACACATCGATAATGGAACATGTTTACTATGATGAATATTTACCATAGTACTACTTGTAGATTTTCCCGAAGGTCATCGCCCACGCTGGCTGGTCTTAGACCAAGCCTCCTGACTGATGGCCTGAATCGTCAGGTCGTTGGTGTTAGCCGCCGCATTCCAAAATAGCCACTACAATCTTTTTTTTTAATTAGTCAGGTATCCTCTTGAGAAAAGATGGTTTTCTCTTGAAGATAGAGGATGTCTGTAGCTTCTCTTATCTGTTGGATTAACTGCGTATTTTATCTTGTTCCTAGTGTTATTAAAGCATTAAGGATAATCTGTTTTGGTCTGCTAACTCTGACTGACATTGGGATTACAATGTATTGACTACATTAAGACTAAATGTCACCTGGACACCACTAGTCAAGGATACTTCAGTTCGTAATGTAAGGATTACAGCAAATTCTTAAGTGTATATATGCTGAGGTATACACAACTCCAGTGTATATACACTGCTGTTAACAGTGCATACTATAATATATATATATATATAATATATATATATATATATATATATATATATAAAATATATATATATAATATGTCGTGCCGAATATGTAAAACTGGTCAATTAGCAAGAACTCATTTAAAATTAAGTCCTTTCTAAAATTTTCTCTTATACGTTTAAAGATATATTTTTTTCATTAATGATAATGTAAAAATTTTTAATTTTGTACCAAAAGAATCTAAGAAAACTTACCTAACCTTATTATAATAACAACAATTTATTTCAGCCTAACCTAACTAAATATATTTTAGATTTGTTTACAGTAATTTAATACTAAGCAAACATAGTGAAATATATTTTTTTCGTTAGGTTCAGAATGATTTTAGCGAAATTATTGCATACACAAATTTTGACTTGTCCTATATGGCAAGCGTTGCTATTTAAGCCAAGATCGCAAGTTCTGCCTTTTCGGGACGACATATATATATATAAAATAATATATATATAAATATATAATATATATATATATATATATATATAAATATATATATTATTATTATCACACTGGGCCGATTCCCACCAAGGCAGGGTGGCCCGAAAAAGAAAAACTTCACCATCATTCACTCCATCACTGTCTTGCCAGAAGGGTGCTTTACACTACAGTTTTAAACTGCAACATTAACACCCCTCCTTCAGAGTGCAGGCACTGTACTTCCCATCTCCAGGACTCAAGTCCGGCCTGCCGGTTTCCCTGAATCCCTTCATAAATGTTACTTTGCTCACACTCCAACAGCACGTCAAGTATTAAAAACCATTTGTCTCCATTCACTCCTATCAAACACGCTCACGCATGCCTGCTGGAAGTCCAAGCCCCTCGCACACAAAACCTCCTTTACACCCTTCCCTCCACCCTTCCTAGGCCGACCCCTACCCCGCCTTCCTTCCACTACAGACTGATACACTCTTGAAGTCATTCTGTTTCGCTTCATTCTCTCTACATGTCCGAACCACCTCAACAACCCTTCCTCAGCCCTCTGTACAACAGTTTTGGTAATCCCGCACCCTCCTCCTAACTTCCAAACACGAATTCTCCTGCATTATATTCACACCACACATTGCCCTCAGACATGACATCTCCACTGCCTCCAGCCTTCTCCTCGCTGCAACATTCATCACCCACGCTTCACACCCATATAAGAGCGTTGGTAAAACTATACTCTCATACATTCCCCTCTTTGCCTCCAAAGGACAAAGTTCTTTGTCTCCACAGACTCTTAAGTGCACCACTCACTCTTTTTCCCTCATCAATTCTATGATTCACCTCATCTTTCATAGACCCATCCGCTGACACGTCCACTCCCAAATATCTGAATACGTTCACCTCCTCCATACTCTCTCCCTCCAATCTGATATTCAATCTTTCATCACCTAATCTTTTTGTTATCCTCATAACCTTACTCTTTCCTGTATTCACCTTTAATTTTCTTCTTTTTGCACACCCTACCAAATTCATCCACCAATCTCTGCAGCTTCTCTTCAGAATCTCCCAAAAGCACAGTGTCATCAGCAAAGAGCAGCTGTGACAACTCCCACTTTGTGTGTGATTCTTTATCTTTTAACTCCACGCCTCTTGCCAAGACCCTCGCATTTACTTCTCTTACAACCCCATCCATAAATATATTAAACAACCACGGTGACATCACACATCCTTGTCTAAGGCCTACTTTTACGTATTATATACACACTTTACGTGATTTGCTTCAGTGTTTGTATTGTCTATATTATTGTCCATTTTCTCTCGTTGTTTTCCATGCTAACTTTTATGTCATGCTATTTGTCTCAAAATTCCCGTGTGGTGCTAACCGATGTATTTATTTAAAACAAAATTCACTATAATGGTAATATAATTAAATTCATTTCTTGAAAATGCCATGTTTTGACCTCAGCTTTGTGGCTCAGTACTGGTGTTTCAGATCTCTTGTTGCAAACTGTGTTGCACGCTTGTGTTGTACACCCATGTCGTACGCCTGTGTCGCACGCCTGTGTTGCAAGCCTGTGTTGCACGCCTGTGTTACACGCCTTTGTTACACGCCTTTGTTACAGGCCTTTGTTGCACGAATGTGCTGCCCCTGTTTTGCATGCCTGTGTTGCACACCTGTGTTGCACCAGCTTCCTGGTGTGAGCCTTTTCTCCTCCCCTCGTTATTATTTATTATATTATTCCTTTATTTACTTTGTGTTTTTATTATAAATATTTTTTTAATTATTTCACATTCGTGGGGAAACGGCAAACATAAATGAGTCACTCAGTGCTCGGTGAATGGGACGTAATTAGGTATGATCCAAGGAAGGAGAAGGTAGCTTAAAATTCAGGAATTAAAATCTCTCAACCAGCATCAAGGCCTCTTCTCCCCCCCCCCCACCCGCGCCTTGAAGAGAGGAACAGAGTTGTTTGTACGTGTGACACTTATCTTTTATTTTTACCTTTGACGGATTTCCAGAGTTTTCCTACTCCCGCAGCCCGACCATAGGTCAGGCTTGTCTGATTCTTGCCTGATCAACCCTGCTGTGGCTACTGGCGACCCGCTGGACCACATATCCATCACAGCTTGGTTGATCTGGCACTTGGTGGAGGTACTTCGTCGCGTATCCTCTTAAAACTTTCAACATTTGTTCCAGCAGTGTTTCTCATATCTCCTGTTAGTGTTTTGAATAGTCTGGGCCTCTCAGATGTTAACAGTATTCTGTTGTGCTCACGGCACCCCTACATTTCATTTTTTTTCTTCCATATTTCTTGCTCTAGTATGATGTTATGACATCATGAAGATTTGGGACTAGGACCTCAACTGCTTTCCTCGTATAGATTATTATTCTCACTCCTCCGCACCTGGAGTTTACCTCGAGAGAGTTCGGGCGTCAACGCCCCCGCAGCCCGGTCTGTGACCAGGCGAGTATATATTAGAACTCTGAGGTATTCCCAATAATGTAAATGCTTCATTAGCTTTATATTGTCCATAAACGATCTCTGTATCTGTTCCACCTCTGATATCTTCTGCCCTGAATGTATCTATAAACATTGAACAATGTTGTAACCGAAAGAACACATGTTATCTGAATAGTATTACCAATTTTTAAATGGGCCGCAGAAAACAATGTGAAGTTCAACGATGAGAAATTTCAATTACTCCGATATGGAAAACGTGAGGAAATTAAAACTACATCGGAGTATAAAACAAATTCCAACCACACAATA